CTGCCTTCCTTCCTTCCTTCCTTCCTTCCTTCCTTCCTTCCTTCCTTCCTTCCTTCTTCCTTCCTTCCTTCCTCCTTTCATTTTCTTGTTTCTCCTAAAATTAGAAATTATCCCACTTTTACAATTACTTGGATTTTTATGTTAGTTTTACTAAATTTTTACCAACTTCTCTACCAGAGTTTTTACACTCCTGTCAATTTGGTAAAACTTGTCAGTTTCCATCAGTTCACTTTTTTTGTTTTTATAATTAAATATATCCTCCGTGGCTCTCTTGTCCTACTGGAGCTTACCTTTGCCATTATCCTGGAGCATCCCCTCAGTCTTGCATCTGAATAGAACCTCAGTTTCCCAGGTCTCCTGTCTTCCTGAGATTAGTCTGATATTTTGCTGAAACACGTCTGCTCCTAGTTTCTTGAAGAAAGATCCAAAGTCAGATTTTGAGTTTCATATGTTTGAAAATTTTATTATCCAAAGTTCACACATAGTTAATAGATATATATAAAATTCTAGTTGAAAATCATTTGCTTCAGAATTTTGAGGAATTCTCCATTGTTTTCAAATTTCCAGTGTAGATGCTAAGCCTAATGCCATTCTAATTTCGAAGTTCTGTATGTAACCAGTTTCCTGCACCCTACTCCTGAGCCCATGCATTTAGAATTCCCTCTTTAATCTCTGAATTTCAAAACTTTTTCATATTTCTCTCAGCATTGGTCTTTTTTATCCATTGCCCTGGGACACAATGGGTGCTTCTACTAGAGGTCCCATGGCCTTCGGCTCAGGAAAATGCTCATTATTTTTCTGATGTTTTCCTTCCCTCCATTCTCCTCTTGACTCTTTTTCTGAGACTCCTATAAGTCAGATTTTCCTCTGCTATTGTCTGGCTTTACAACTTATCATACATGCTTTGAACTGTCTCTCCTGATTTCATCCACAACCACCCTCCTTCCCACTCTCTAGGCTTCTACTTGCTGACAATTTCTAATGTTCTTTTTCCATAAATCAGCTTGCTTCCTGGCTCCCCTCACCTTGTAGGCATTTAGATTTCCACTTTTCCTAGTGTGCATAGCCAGTCAACTCTTCTCCATGATGTGTTGGAGTTTTTAAGATGCTGCTGATATTTCTTTGGCATCTCCATTCCAGTTTTATTTGTACTTTTGGGATTACATTTTTAATCTTTATACTATCATTTTAGTGGTTGCAAAAATGGAGTAGAAACAAATACTGTATTTCACCCTAAGTCTTTCTTTTCTTTCTAGCATCTTTAGTTTTATTTTCTTTATAGTCTTCTTTTTACTTCGAACATGCAGATTGATCTCTCCCCACATATATATATATATATGTATATATATATATATATATACATATATATATATATATATATACCTATACATATATACACACACATATATATAGGTAAGCACACACACACACACATATCTATACACACAGAGAGACACTTCAGAAAGTTCATGGAAAAACAGAATTAAAGATAAAGCAATCTTTCCATGAACTCTTTGAAGTATCCTCATATGTGTTTGTGTGTGTGTGTATACATATGTGACTGTTATGGAGTGGGTCCCTGGAATCCACACTTACAACAAGCTTTTCGGGTGACTCTTATGTACACAAAATCTCAAGAAAATTTTCCTGAGTCATTGTTTCCTATGTGGACCATGTGACCAAGAAATAGCAGCACCCCATTATGAAGTGATCCCCCTTCAGATGAGGGGAAATCAAATTGCCTACTTATTCTCATTTATTGTGTTGGCCTAATTGTACCCTCAGGCCTTTAATGCCAGAAAGACAGGCTTTTATGGAGGAAATGGCCTGTGAAACCACATCAGGGTAGGAGACCCGGAGAGTGATGAGGTCTTGTGAACCGTATCTGGGGAACCATCCAGGGCAGTGGAGCTTTAGGGTGCCACCTAGCAGGGATGTAAAGGAAAGCAGCTATAAAAACTATTGAATAACTTTCCTGAATTCAAGGGTAAATCCTCATTTCATAGGGCCAATGATTATGCAATTTGATGGGTCTTTCAAGTAATATACCTAATTCAAATTTATAAATTTCAAAATTGCAAAGGCCTCTCTCAGGTCCTCAGTAGGGGTGGGTGCCAGGGAGGAGTCCTGAGGCTTATGCTTCATTAACTCTGAAGTAACTTCACTCCACCTACATTTCTTGTTTCGAACTTGTCCTGCCTTTTTCTACAAAATGATTAGCAATAAAACTCTCAATAGGCCTGCTGTGTTAGTGTTCAGTAAAAGCAGAGTTAAAGTGAGGTCTATTTTATAGACATTTATTCAAAGGAGTGGGCTTAAGAAAAGGGTTATGTCTTTGGTGCTCTCCAGGCTTTGAAGGTGAACTGCGTCTACTTTTAAGCTCTTATCCTATCCTGTCCAGATCTTGCTCTCTCAATTATTTGCCTACTATTATATTTTTTAATCTCTCCTGCTTTGCTTTCTCTATCTCTGGGTTTCTAAACTGTTGACATTTTGGATAATCATTAGTTGGGGAGGGGTGTGCAGTGCATTGTTGAATGTTTAGCTGGCACCCCTAGCTTCTACCCGCTAGATGCCAGTAGCACCCTCCCCCATAGTCCTAACAGTCAAAAAGAGTCTCCAGACATTGCCAGATATCCCCTGAGAAAAAAGTCATACTGAATCAAATAACCAAGTCTAGCTCAGCTATATATAACAGGATACAGACCCTCCCATTAAAGACAAACATGCACGCACACACACACGCACACACGCAGACACACACACTCAACTGTGGATCAACCTGGTGATACCTCATCCCTCCTTCCCTCCTTCCCTTCAGATCAAGCATCTTGAAAGGGTAGTCAAAGCCCATTTTCTTCACTTTGTCTTTTTCAATTTATTTCTTAGTTTCAATATCTTTTAAAATGTAGTATTTTATACATAACAGGATATAAATAACAAATATGTTAGAAAGTATAATAACACAATAAACATCTATGAATCTACCACCCAACTCAAGAATGAGAGTATCACCAAGCCCATTACAGGGTCAGCTACCTTTGTCTTCTACTTCCCTCCACATGCCTCCTGTTGCCCAGAAGAGATTAGATTTTATGTTTATCCTTCCCTTCTTTTTATTTTTAAAATTATTTTTATCATATATGAATGTTTCCCTATATGGTATATTACTTAGCATTGGTATTTTTGAGCTACATAAAAATGATATACAATAGTATGTTGCTGTCTTCTGGGACTGCTTTATGTTTTCTTTTCTTTTCTTTTATTCGATTATATTTCTTAGATTTAATCATGCAACTTGTACCTATACCTTACTTGATGTAGAGTTTAAATAGTGAATTAGGAGCACAACTCCGACTTCAAGGTTTAAATCCTGGTCCTGCATATGTAACATTGGGCAAGTTCCTCAACCCTTTTATGCCTCTGTTTCCTCATATATAAAAGAGGAAATAATAGTTCTGAGCATAAAACTAAGTTAATTTATGTAAAGGGCCAAGAAAAGTGCCTGGTACATCGTAAGCACTGTATGTAAGCTTTTATTTATCACTTTGACTTCTGTGTAACATGCTTCATCATAATAGAGCACAACTTATGTATCCACTCCCTGTCAAGGGACATTTGGGTGG